TGCTACTTCATTTGATAAGAAACGATTAATTGAAGTAGTGATTGAATTCCCAACAGTGATTCAATTTGAGAATACTGGGTACTCGGTACTCAGAGTAGAATTTGCCCACTGGCTACCACGTAGGTCATATAAGCATCGAAAAAGAGGTCGTATAAACACCCCACCAGACAGTCATCAGGTAGAGGATGCTATTAAAAATATTCCTATCTACTTAATAGAAAGCAAGGAAGAAAATGAAGAATTTCAAAGGGTATCCCCCTTTTTGATTAATAAATCCATAGTTAATTTATTAGAGGAGGTTAAAAACATCAAGAAATAATGAGATGGAAATTTATTGATTGAAACTACCAATAGTAAACAATCCCAGAAGCTTATAGATTGTAAGCGATTTGCCGACCGATTATTTATAACCGTAAAAGCACACGCTACTTTAAATTATAGTAAGGGAGTTATTAGATGCTTCGATTTGCAATATTCAGAAAAAATTACATGATTAAAGAGCTAAATGGAAAACTTACGGATTTCCATAGATTTGTTTTATTTGATTATTTAGAAATATAATAATCTGTCACGTGGACAATAATTATAGTTATATATGAACACATTCACACCATACCTACAGAAACATAAAATTAACAAAAGTAAAATAATAAATAAATAATAATCAAAACCTATGTTCAAAAAAAAAAAAAATAACCTAAGTATAAGTAAATTAAAAACATAAAAAACTCAGTCATACCTATATACAATATTTACAATCAGGCAGGGAATTCCAATCCAGGCTTCTCCCTCTAACTGTAGAAGGGAAATCAGGACTTCAAGAGATTCCTGCGCTACTCTCTCAACCGTGTCACTGGTGCCAAAGCCAGTGGAGTTTGAGCAAGAGCGCTTTAGCCACTCATGACTTGAGTCGAGAATCTTGCCATTGTCAGGACTCCAAGACATATACGATAAAAGATCTCTGGGCCACTGCAGCTTCAATCTTTGAGGAGAATTGTAGGGATGAGTGGAACTAGATAGGGATTGTGCTAGGGGATTTGGATGATTTATAAGGTTGTGATGGAATTTGGAAAAATTGTCAGAGATAAGGTCGAGGACAAATGGGATATTAAGGCCATGATGTAGGATTTTATTTGTTACCTAGAAAGGAGCATCGAATATTGTTCAAAGGACTTTGGACTGAAAGGATTGGATGCATTTTATGTTAGAAAATTTTGCTGTCCTCAAAGTTTAAGTCCGTAATAACAAATATGTTTCAGGATTGTCTTGTATATCAGTAATTTGTTGTCAATTGAAAGTTGAGATTTTCTATTCAGTAGTTTGTATAATTGGCCGTATAGTCTGTTAAGTTCTTGTCTTTTAAGTCTAGTATGTGGTTTCCACGTTAGTCTTCCATCTAAGAGAAAGCCTCGATACCGGACTGTCGGATGATAGGATGGTGGTGTCGTCAGAAAATGTTGCCAGGAAGGTATCGAGATGGACAGGGATATCAGCGATAAAAAGGACATAAAGGACGGGGCCCAAGACGCTACCTTTAGGAACAACGGCTTCAACTGGGTAGGAATTGGAAAATTCTGTAGCACAGCGAACTCAAAAGGTGCGACCAGAGAGATAGGAGTGGAGGATTAGGTACAAGGACTGGGGTAGATGGGTTTTCAGCTTGGAAAGAAGCCCGGCATGCCATACCTGGTCAAAAGCTTGAGATATGTCCAGAAATGCACCCCAGCAATATTGCTTGTTTTCCAGTGCTGCGGAAATATGATCGACAACTCGAAGTCCTTGTTAGACTGTGGAGTGTTGTGAACGAAATACTAACTGATGGGAAGGAAGATTGTGGGATTTTACGAAGGGAAGGATTCGTTTTAGGAGGATCTTTTCAAAGATTTTTGAGAGGATTGGAAGTAGGCTAATTGGTCTGTAGGACATCGACGTGTTGGGAGGTTTGGCTGGTTTTGGAAACAGGATAATAGTGGAATGTTTCCTCAAAAGAGGAAAGTCGGTGGTTCTTAGAATGGTATAATATAAGTAAGTGAGAAATATAACAGCTTTAGGAGGAAGTTGTCGAAGGATTTGGTAGAGGTCGTTGTAGGAGAGGTAAGGGAGTCGTATCCAGGAGATTTACGGAGAGGAAGTTTTTGTATGTGATGTTTGACCACAGGAGGATTAACTACTTTAAGGAGTCGGAAAGTGGAATGGATAATGTAAGGAATTCTTCTGGTCGGGTTGGATTCCGGATGAGAGGTGAATGTTCGGGAGAGGTGTCTGGCGAATTCCTCAGCTTTGTCTTCATCAGAAGCTGCCAAGGAACCATCGCATCGACGGAAGGGATGGGATATATGATGGGATTTTAGGATTATGTTGGTGATCTTCCATAGAGAATTGTCATGACCAGAAAGGGAAGTAGAGTAAGAGTTGAAGGATTGGAATTTAAAGGGGGCCAATTCCTGCTTTAATCGTTTAGTGAAATAATTATAAGAGCGACGATCGGTGGGGTGTCTTGAACGTTGCCATAATATTCTGGCGTTTGATGGGAATTAGGTTTAGCAGATATTGAGGTAAATTATTTTTGTTAGGAATTTTCGAGGAGAGATTTGGGGAGGAAGCAGTCCAGATTGCTTTTTGAATGGTTGTGGTAAAGGAATGTGCAGCATTATAGAGGTCTTCTGGGTTTTTCAGAGGGTTATTCTGAGGTCAATTTTATAGGAAAGGATTTGATGAAAGAGTTTGCAGTTAACTAGACCTCTGATGAAGGACAGTGAAGGGGGTTTAGGAATAGGAGCTATTGATAATTGAAGTATTAATGGACTATGATCTGAGGAAACTTGGTCAAGACGGGTAAGGGAATGATTGAGGTGACCTATACCACTATGGATGAAAAAATCAAGGATATCAGGATAGCGGTTAGGATCAGTGGGCCAGTAGGTTGGTGAGCTGGGTGGAAGGAGACTGAAAAGTTGGGAATTGAATGCAGAAAACAATGTTCTGCCACAAGAATTCGTGGTTTTTGAACCTCATTCTTGATGCTTGGCATATTAGTCTACACCCAGGATGAAATAATGACCTAAGGAGTTGAGGAGATAACTGAACTGGACTTTGGATTTGGATCTGTTAAGAGGACAATATGTTGATGCAAGGGTGACCGGAAAGGAGAAGGTTTTAATTACAAAAGCGGTTGATTGTGTGAAATATTGAGTAGGTAATGGTAATGGTAATGGGAGTAAGTAATGAGAGAGGGATACGATGACAGCAATACCGGCATGTGCTCTACCGTCAAGATGGCCAGTACGGTATGTTATGTACTGTTAGAATTATTTTCTGATTAATTACTTATAAATGTATAAATTGGGATATATAATTTATAAGTAATATTATATGGATTGCTTGCGTTTGCGGATGATCATGACTCTTATAACATAATCCGGGCAAATCGGCATACAAGTAATATAAAACGATATATATGATGGTAAACAAAAAACTCCACCCTAACGACATTCTGCTTAAAAGGAAAATCGTTTTCCAGAATATTTCACAATGTTATCAAAAACCTCGGCTTCACAATAACTAGTGTTGTCCAAAATCGGTCTTAGTCTTGCAACTTGCAAGACCAAGACCAATACCCCCTGACTGTTGCAAGACCAAGACCAGGACTGGTAAAAAAAATCGGTTTTCGAATAAAAATTAAGGAAAATAGTTAATAATATTTGATTATTTTAGTTACTATATGTAAACAATTCGTATAACCAATATACTTTTGAATATAACCCTTCCAATTTTTCCTTCAGGCTTAGTTAGGTTTCCCCTATCTGAAAAATTACAATAATATCTCAATAGTAATAGACTAATAGGTAACTGCAAGACTGTTGTGAGAATCTTGCGCAAGATCAATATCAAGACCAAGACTGAGTGCGCAAGACTCCTCTTGGTATCGCATTTGGGCAACACTAACAATAATCACAATATAGGAACAACGGTTGGTAAAAGAATAGTAAAAAAATCAGCCACAAATACATCGTTCTTCATTCCCTTTCAAACCCATTTAAACCACAAAATATCTCTAGAAATCTCAAACTAGAACTCTATGATAAACTAATTCTGATAAATGGCTGCGAAACCTGGGATTTAACTGGAACTCTAGAAAGCCAAACAGAAAGATTTGAAAGGAAACGATAACCGCGATTGTTCCGGTAAACCTGGGACTTAATCTATGGAGAAGAACAACCACAAAACTGCTTACAGAAGCTGGTCAATCGATACCCCATGATAAGGTGTCAAGAAGATCGGAAGAGACCAATAACTATAGAAGCTACGGAGCTGCATGCAGAATATTAAAAGTAATAGTCCATGATAGGTAGAGATGAGGGATCGCGAAAGATATATAGAACCAAAAGAACAAAAAAATTGGTATATTATTTGTGTTAGTGGTCAGTATGGTTTAGTTAATAAAGTTATTCATGTTTTTATATAATAGGATGCGATAATTTCTTAAGCCAATCCGATTCAGTTGAGCCCTACTTTCTGACTTTAAAAACTATAAATACACAATTCTTCTTCTTTATTTTTCTAAAAAATAGATAAATAAATATATAGTTTAATGAAGACTATAGACGTTTGCTAAAACATTAGTTTACTATTAATAAACAGTAGTAGAGACGATTACAAAACTTACCTAAAACATTAGAATAGAATACAAGTCTCTCTCCACAGTTCTGATAGTTAATTTAACTTATTAAACACCATATGATTTATAAACAAATGTTTTTCAATTTAGCAATGTAACCCTATATTATATTACCAAACCAAATGATGAATATAATTTACACACACATATGCATATAGATGTACAATCTCAAATATCTATACATTTAATGAATACGTAAATATTATAAGTAGAAAGAAGAAGTTGTTATTAATCATTATTAATTAACTTTATTATATATTCGGATACATTTAATTTGTTAGTGGAATCTTCAAATTTAATTTTTTTTTGTGCACAATGGTTGTTACTCTGGTTTATTTCCTCTTGATGTTCGGCTAGAATTGGAGTCAGAATCGTTCAGCTTGATATAACCTCTTCTAGTTTTAGGTCTTGCCGTTTTTGGACTTGGAGTACAGGGCCTTGGCTTTGAAGACTTCGGAGTAAAGGGCTTAGACGTTGAACATTTTGGTGTATAAGGCCTAGAGGTTGAATGCCTAGGAGTGAAGGGCCTTGTAGTTAACGGCATTGCAGTTTTTGAAGTTCTCTCCCCTTCAGCTGGTGTGTGGTCCAACCTGCGGCTAAAGTTTTCTTCTGTATTACTAATGGAAGATGTATCAGAATCATTTTCTTCTGAGGGACTATCAGCTCTATTTTCTTGAGACGATTCAAAGTTTCCTCTAGGAGTACGAGAATTTACTTGTTCCCTAGTTGGCAATTTATGACAGGAACTGACGTTTTTGCACACAATTGTCATTGTCATTGTCTCATTATATTTTAACGCCAGTTTTCTGTTGAAAAGTTCAGGAGTGGCATAGTCTTGGCAAGTATTTATTTTTTCCTTAATTAAGGACTGTGATAAATTCAGATCTCGACGTTGTACAATTGAACTGTCGCTAATAGTATCACTACACCTTAATGCACCATTTTTATTATGACAACATTCTTCATCCGTTAGATCGCTGTCTGAATCTGAGTTGGAATAAATTGTTTCATAATCTTTAAAAACAGACCTCATTTGAAACTCACTGGTTTTATAACATTGTTTGGTGGTTTCTTTTACACACATACCAGTGGAGAAATTGTAGTCTTCTCTATTGCCCATGCTCGAATCGTCTTCATCTGATTCTGAGACACTAGAGACGTTGTGTCTGCATTCTTCGAGTAATCTTGTTGGTAGAAGAGTTAAAAAAATGGGCCAAATAAACAAAAATAGCCTCAATCCAATTTCTTCTCCAGTTAGTGAAATTTCAATCGTATTTTGTGTACTCATTTTACAGGCGCATTTATTTTTAGCAGCCTGATCAGTCCTCTCGTCGATATCTGATGATTCCTCAGACGTACTGTCCCACGATTTTACAAATACTGAGCTAGTTCCTGTTTCTGGATTGATATCGCATATGTGTTGTATACGAATTCCGCAGTAGGCGGTATTTATTGATTTCCGAGAACTAAATGATATTCTGTTTAATTTCAGTTTTCTAAACGCACTCTGAAAAAAGAAAATTAAAATCAGTTTAAAAAAGAAGAAGAAATATATATATATATATATATATATATATATATATATATATATATATATATATATATATATATATATATATTTATGGCAGTGTTATTATAATAACTTTATTTTTTGTTTCTCATTAATAAATTCTTAATTTTTAACTTAACGGAATTAAGAAGATGAGAATTAATATGATAAGTACACTTCATTATTTGGGTTGACAACTCTTGACAAGTGGTAGTCAACTCAATTAGTTGACACCCCGTAAAGACAGACCTATATAAAAGTTAACTATAGAAAGCTCTCTTTGTTATATGATCAATTTGTAAACATTTCAAAAATTCAATTGGCTTTTCACTAATTTTTTTAAAAATTTATTTAGAAATATAATAATCTGTCTTGTAGACAAAAATTATAGTGAGATCTGAACACATTCACACCATATATACAGAAAACATAAAATTAACAAAAGTAAAATAATAACTAAATAATAATCAAGCAACTATGTTCAATAAAAATCCGGTCGGTAAATCGTGTCTAGGAAAAAAGGAAAATAAGAATAACAAACCGTGGTTTGATGAAGGTTGCGTGCAAAAAAAGAAAATCCGCTAAATTTAAAGCTCTAAATAATCTTAGCGAAGACAATCTGGAATACTTCGGAACCTCGAAGAATGAAACGACAAAATCTCTCAAAAATAAAAAATGGGAATCTCTTAAAAATCAAATAATGGAAATAGGAACTCATAGAATTGAAAATAACGTAAGAGACATGTACAAAGGTATAAAAAGATCACGTAAATGTTTAGAGACCGTCATGTCTGCAATTAGGGATGAAAATAAACATATTCTGACCGATCCGGTAGACATATTAAATAAGCTTAAGAGCCACTTCAACAATATTTTAAATACGGGAAATTATGGTCTGTGTTCTCTTGAGTACCGGGATGCTGAACAGTTAATAGAAGAATCGAGTAAAGAGGAAGTTGATGTAGCTATCGAAAAATTAAAATCTTAAAAAGCAGCGGGAACCGATAATATTTCTTGTAAACTAATTAAGACATGCGGGGAAGCTGGAGTTTCTAAAATACATCAGTTGGTTAAAAAGATCTGGGTGAATAAGAAATTACCTGAAAAATGGAAAGAATCTATTCTCATAACAACTCATAAAAAGGGTCCGAGGATGGATTGTAATTACTATCGAGGAATTTCACTCCTTCCAGTATGTTATAAAATATTAACTTTAATCTTAACAAGTCGAGTCACAAAATAAGCAGAGGAAATTATCGGTGACCAATGCGGATTTAGACGGAATCGTTCGACTATTGATTAAATATTTTCTTTACGGCAAATGTTGGAGAAAAGTATAAAAGAAGGTAAAGTAAGTAAGTAAGTAAAAAAGAAAATTAAAGTACAACGGTGTTGTTCACCAGCAGTATATCGATTTAAAAAAGGCTTACGATTCTACTGACCGCCAGAAACTGTATAATATTCAATTGAGCAGGGAATTCCAAAAAAAAAAAAAAAAATAGTAAATCTAATCAGGATGTGCTTGACGGAAACACTCAATAATGTTAGAATTGGGAATAATTTATCCGAACAGTTTGAGGTTCGTTTGCGTTTAAAATAGGGTGATTCCCTTTCGCCTGTCCTGTTCAATTTGGCATTAGAACATGCCATTAGGGAGGTAATGCGTACCGAAAAATGGTTGGATCTGGGTGGAACAACATCCGTGCTTGGCTATGCGGATGGTCCTGTTATGCGAAGACAAGAAAACTATAAAACTAAATACGAAAACGTTGATGAAAGCCAGTAAAGAAATAGGGATCGAAATAAACACGGATAAGACAACATATATGGTTCGCTGCAAAAATGGCTATATTGTTAGTGATATTGTTATAGAAGGTAACATGTTTAAACAGGTAGAAAGTTTAATTATCTAGGGTCTACGATAACTAGAAAAAACGAAATTGAAGAGGAGATTAAGGTTAGGCTGAAGGCCGGAAATGCTTGTTATTTTTCTGTGACAAAACTACTTAGCTCGCGCATCTTGTCCCGAAATTTAAATACTAGAATCTATAAAACTATTATCCTACCTACAGTTCTGTATGGATGCGAAACGTGGCTGCTTACATTAAAAAAAAGAGCAACGTCTTAAGGTTTTTGAAAATAAAGTATTACGTAGAATATTCGGAACGAAGAAAGATTAGTTAACCGGAGAGTTCAGAAGGTTGTACAACGCCGAGGCGAATCAAATGGGCTTGTAAAATAGTCGGGCTTCTTAACGAAAGAATTCCTAAAAGGTTGATATTTGCAGTACCGAATGGTAAACGTCCGAGAGGTAGACCGAATCAAACATTGCGTTAAAGCCGATCTGAAGGGCTGGGTTTGGACGGCGAACGGTGGAGGGAGGTGTGTAATAAGCTATTGGTGGTGTCGGCATCGAACCTCCGGGTTCCTTTAGCCTTTTAATATTATTATTAATCAAAAGAAACATTCTACCCATAACTACATTTTTAAACCAAATTTTTCTAACGCTTTTAGAAACAAAACCAATTCTACATTCCCACTGTCAGAAAGAAGTTATTCATTAGCTCAATTCCTTAAGAACTTACCTTTATAGTAAAAAGGAAACCAAAACCCACATTGGATCCACAAACCCTCAAAATGATGCTCCATTTCTCTAGATTACTCATAAGCAATACCTCACCTTTCGAGTACAACACCGAATTCTCCCATCTCCTACAAAATATTACAGAACCATTTTTTATTTACACTGACGGTTCGAAATCCGATGATGCTACAGCTTTTGAGTTTGTTACCCATAACTCGACCAATAAAATAAAACTTCATAAATTAAGCAGCATTTACACAGCGAAACTCCATGTAGTAGCCTCAGCCCTCCACTTCTGTACGTCAATAACTCCAAACACAAAAGTCTTAATAAATAACCGACTCCTTGAGTTCATTAAAAGGTTTAAATGATATGTACTCAAAGCATCCAGTTATCCTAAAAATACACAAATATCTTCATATTCTTGAAAATTTGGGAAAATCGGTTTGCTGTTTAAAAGTTGTTAATGAGTACGCAAATATTGCAGCTAAACAAGCACTCGCGCCCCTAAGCCGAGGAACTGCTATCCTGACCCCTACTGAATGAGTTATCCTCTCAAAAAAGAAATATCAGATAGTTGGCTATCTATGTGGAACGAAAGCCCGCCTAGAAAATTGAAAGTTGTTAAAAATCAGTGAAGCCTTGTACCACATCAAACTGTACTAATCGCAGAGAGGTCGCCGTGACTAGGTTAAGAATAGGACACACAAATCTAACTCATTTAAATCATTAAATAGCCACCACTAAAATGTCCAACACTGCAATAGCTATCTCACTATCCGTCATATTTTCCAGGAATGCCCATATCATATATCAAGATTATCTCTAGGACCGGATATATCATTTAACAGAATCAAACATTTAAACAGTTATAAATTTTCTTAAAATTCATAGACTATTCAATAAATTATAGAAATAAATATAATTCTGAATGAAATAATCATGTTCCGTAAAATGGTGTGTGTGTGAACAACAGCCTAGTTCAAAAATGTGAAGTTACGTATTTAAGGTTTGTATATGGCTCAGATGTGACAGTAACCTTTTCGTTAAAATCGGCTAACCGGAAGTGCCACTTTTTATCATTGTATTAGATTTTAGATATTTTTTTCTCGAAAATGGCTATAACGATCTGGATTAAACTCGGTGTATGAAAGTATAATTAAGTAATCTTTAATATCTTTTAGGTCCCTTAATATCAGTTTATCCCTATTAATATCGCTTAACAGGCTTAACTGCTCAATGTTCAACATATCTTCCTCTAAAGTACCTTTAATTTATTTATTTTAAATAATTAACTATCTCTCATTGTAATAGTCTGTGGGCCAAACCCTCTTATCGTGCACCCCCCCAACATCCCTATAAATTTCATATCGTTGTGTTCCTTGTAACTATTTATTAAAAAAAAAGCCAATGTTCCCACAAAAAAAAGTGAATGCACTGCCCCAAAATGGCGTCCAAAGATGGCGGATTGACGACTTTGACTTTAGCTAGTTTTTTGGTCACTGAGAATCAGCATTTGGCTTAATTTCCTCATAGTTGGTCTTTTATTAAAGCTGAATAGTCATAGAATAATAAAACATGAAGAAATATTAAAAAATAATTGGCTTAGGCCATGAAAAACACCAGTAAAATCAATTTTTTTAACAAATAAATTTTAAAGTTACAAATTAAGCGTCGTTTGTAATTAAACGGCCTACAATAACGCAAAACGTGCAGCAATAAAACATCTGGATAATATATTTCTCGTTCTAAAACGCTGATTATTTTTTTTTTTTAATTTAAGCGGTTCCGTAGAAAATGCACTTATGCGGCAGAAAAGCGGTACTGGCATGGGTGCCTACAGGCCTCTACCACACCATTCAGTACACATAAATGGCTTAGTTAAGTGATATAATAGCATTTTTGGTACATTATATTGGTTTTATTAACGAACAAATATTAATGCAATAATTTAATGGTAAAAAAAAATTAAATTAATAAAAAAATATTATTATTTTTTTAAAATTTAACCTCCTTTATTCTATACGTAGGTCGTTTAAGAAGACCTCAATTGTAAAAATGATATAATTATATTAATAAAACTTAATTAAAAAATACTTCCCTAAATATCTTGCTTTTTTTTTATTTAACGTTTGTAATTTAACACTGTGTTTTGTATATTTACTGATCCTTTGAGGTAATTAAAATGTTTATATACTTCCCAGGAAATGAGTCATATTAATACCTGTTTTATAAACTAAAATAATATATACCTAATCTGAACTATATATAATAAATAGCTACCGGGTTGTTTAGTAAAACTCATATATCACTAATTAAAAAATTAATTTTTATTTCCTTTATTTTGTCCAGAAGTTGGACTATATCATAAATA